ACCGCCACCACCGCCGCCTCCGCCGCCGCCGCCACCCCACCACCACCCCACCACCACCACCACCACCATCACACGGGAAATCACCACTCCCGCCGACACGGCCGCCCCCGCCACCTCCATCACAGCCCCTCTGCCCACCCCCTCCACGACAGGAACCACCGTGACAGCCACGGCACACCTGCGAACCACACCCACCCCGGCAGCCCCACAGAGTACCCCGGGCATCACTCCCCCAACCGCCTACTCCACGGGAGGCTCAAGCACATCTGCAGTTTCCTCGCCGCTCCCTAGCCCTGCTTCCCTGCAGACATCCAGAACCCTAGCTCCGTCTCCGGAGCCTTCGGGCACGCCCACCAGCACACCCACCACCCGCTCCACATCCACCAGCCCCACTGCCTCCTTGACCATCACCACTGACCTCACCTCCACACCCACTTTCTCCAGCCTGGCCCCCACCCCCACGCGTGTCATCCCGTCCTCCCCCACCGTCCACACCACAGCCGCAGCACTCAGTGCCCTCACCACCTCGGCCACGATGCCCGACACGACATCCGTGCCCCCAAGTACCCACCGCGCTGCCACTCCCTCCGTCACTGCAGCCGCTCCCGGAACCTCTGCAGCCTCCCCTTCCACGTCCACCAGCAGTAGCAGGACCACCCCGCCCCAGGGGGCCACCGCTGCCTCCACCAGCACCAGCACCAGCACCAGCACCAGCACCAGCACCAGCACCGGCCCTGGCCCCGGCACCAGCACACTGCACACGACCACGCTTACTCCCTCCAGTGACACGCCTGCACAGCCTTTCACGACAGACACTACTTCTCAGCCCCCAATCACATCATCGGTCACCCCCAGGCGCACCGCCAGCTCCCTGGCCTCCCACGCCTCCTCTCCAGTGACCACCGATGCCTTCACCTCAGCCACGAGCCTGCCTCTGTCTTCTCCTCCTGCCTCAAGCGCAGAGCCAGCCCCCACTTCCGCCCCGCACCCGAGCCCTCTCTCCACCTTGGTCACCACCATCCCCACCACCCAGGCCACGTCCACCCCTCCACCTCCCACTGGGACCCCCACCCCCACCGCAACAGGAATCACCACGCCCACTGACACCGCAACCCCCGCCACCTCCGCCTCGATCACAACCCTCTGGCCCACTCCCTCCACGACCGACACCACCGCCACGCCACCTCACCCCTGCGAACCACACCCAGCCCGACAACACCGCACACTACTCCAGGCAGCCCGTCCTCAACCTTCTACCCCACTGGAAGCACAGTCACGTCGGCAGTGGCCTCCTCCCCCTCTACCTCTGCCGGCCCGCACACCTCCACCACCACAGCTCCATCTTCTGCCAGTACGGGCATCTCCACCGCCACGCCAACCACCACCAACTCCACATCCACTAGGACCCCTGGCTCACTGACCACCCTGACCGGCCTCAGCTCCAGCAGGTCACCAAGCCCCACAAGTGTCATGCCCTCTTCCGGCCCCCTGCACATCCCAGGCACCACTCTCGCTGTCACCACCACCTCTGCCCCGCTGCCTGCTACCGCATCCCCGCTCACAAGTGCCCACGGCACTGCCACCCCCTCCCTCACCACCAGCACTCCGCTTCCATCCGCTCGCCCCTCTCCCACGCCCGCCAGCAGTCCCAAGGCCACTCAGGCCGAGAGTAGCCCTCCGCCGGCCACGAGCAGCAGCACACTGAGCACCAGCACGGTCACACCTAGCAGGGACATGCCCTCACAGTCCCCCAGGACAGAGAGGACTTCCGTTCCGCCAATCACCTCATCCGTCACCCCCACAAACACAGTCGGCTCCCCCACCTCCCCCACTTCCTCTCGAGGGACCGCCAAGACCGGGACCTCATCCACGAGCCTGCCTCTGTCCTCTCCTCCTGCCTCAAGCGCAGAGCCAGTCCCCACTTCCGCCCCCAACCCTAGCCCTCTCTCCACCTTGGTCACCACCATCCCCACCACCCAGGCCACGTCCACCCCTCCACCTCCCCCTACTACT